AGAAGGATGCTATTGCGCCGTCATACCGCTTGCCTGGTCCGGCGGCGCGGAGTCCCGCCGTTGCCACGCCGTAGTGGACGGCGGCTCACTATCGTCCAGTCGCGCAGCCCGTCCCGCCGGCATGGCGCGGCGGCAGCAATGGTGGCGACGCCGATCTTGTCCGTCACACATCGGCCGCTCGCAGCGCTCTTCCTAGAGAAGCCATCGAGTGTGCCATGGGAGGTGCACAAATTCGGCGGCACCTCGCTCGCCACCACCAAGCTGTACAGGCAGCGGCGCAGGCGACGTCGTCGGGGAGGGCTTCGTAGCCGCGGCGGGCTTCGACGGAAGGCGCGACGGGTACGTGTTTAAGCTTGGCAGCGCTGGGCTCGGCTACTATCTCGACGGGGCGGGCAGGCCGCCAGCGGCGGGCGGCAAGCCGGCAAAGCTGGCGGCGATGCTGGCTGCGATGGAGGCGGAGGAGGCGGCGCGCAAGGAGCGCAAGAAGCGGAAGCGGGAGAAGAAGGAGCGCAGGCGGGAGAAGAAGGAGAGGAAGAAGAAGGAGCGCCGCCGCGGCGAGGCGAGCGAGGAGGAGGCGCGCGGGAAGGGCAAGCGGCGCCGCTCCTCCTCCTCCTCCGAGTCGAGCGGCTCCGAGCAGCCGCGGCGGTGAGGGGGCAGGGGCGTCCCCCAAACGCAGGACTCGTCATAGCACGCTCCCTCTCAATAAATAAATGTATACGGACGCCACCCAGCAGCGGGAGGGAGAAGGGAGGAGACGTGGTCAGTACTGTTATGTATACGTACCGGCCCTATATGCACCCGTGTGTCCTGCCTATGCATTGGCAGGGTCAGACGTCGCGCGAATGCATAGTCCATAGCGTGTCTTATGCAATACGTACGATGTTTTCGCCTTTATGTCTCAGCAAACAGTGCAGCGCTGCCGATGTCGCATTGGCGCTATGAGCTATGCATTACGTATCCGTATTATGCATCACTCAGCGGCGCCTGCACGTGGGAGGGCTATGGACTACGCATTACGTATCCGTATTATGTATCACTCAGCGGCGCCTGCATGTGGGAGGGCTATGGACTACGCATTACGTATCCGTATTATGTATCACTCAGCGGCGCCTGCACGTGGGAGGGCTATGGACTACGCATTACGTATCCGTATTATGTATCAAGCGCCGAAAGCCCGCCGGAGAGGGCTATGTACTACGCATTACGTATCCGCATTATGTATCAAGCACCGAAAGCCCGCCGGAGAGGGCTATGTACTACGCATTACGTATCCGTATTATGTATCAAGCGCCGAAAGGGCTATGTACTACGCATTACGTATCCGTACTATGTATCAAGCGCCGAAAGCCCGCCGGAGAGGGCTATGTACTACGCATTACGTATCCGTATTATGTATCAAGCGCCGAAAGCCCGCCGGAGAGGGCTATGTACTACGCATTACGTATCCGCATTATGTATCAAGCGCCGAAAGCCCGCCGGAGAGGGCTATGTACTACGCATTACGTATCCGTATTATGTATCAAGCGCCGAAAGCCCGCCGGAGAGGGCTATGTACTACGCATTACGTATCCGTATTGTGTATTCAAGCGCCGAAAGCCCGCCGGAGAGGGCTATGTACTACGCATTACGTATCCGTACTATGTATCAAGCGCCGAAAGCCCGCCGGAGAGGGCTATGTACTACGCATTACGTATCCGTATTATGTATCAAGCGCCGAAAGCCCGCCGGAGAGGGCTATGTACTACGCATTACGTATCCGTATTGTGTATTCAAGCGCCGCAACCCTCCGCCGGGTTGTGTGTGAGAGCTGGGGGGGGAGTCCGCTCCGCAGCATGCAGCCCTAACCCCCCCCCCCCCTCGGCCCAGACCCTAACTTCGCGCTGCGCCGCTCGGGCTGCCATAAGTTGGCTAGGGTTGTATGTGCGCTGGTAACAACAGACTCGGGCATAGCCCTCGACAGCCACCCCCTAACCCCCCACCCACCCCCCTTTATGTGCGCGCACTGGCGCTGCCGCTCGGGCTGCCATAAGTTGGCTAGGGTTGTATGTGCACTGGCAACAGCGGAGCTCGCTGGGGGTCTTCTTGTCACATATATTTCCGGGCTTATCACCGACCGGGTTAAGACTAACCCTACCTTTTCTATTCTATCGGCTCGCTGCGCTCGCTCTAAAAACGAGCTCGCTGGGGCTGCGCCCCATCTCGCCGGTCTACACGTTACTTAGGTTTCTCAACCCCGTTGAACAATATTCAATACACACGTACACACGTACACGTAATAGACGCTGAACCGCAGCCTAGGGGTGGAACGGCATGCCGGCCGTGTAGCGGTTGCGCATGTGCATCAGCCGCAGGATCGTGAAGAGGAAGCGCGACTCATTCATCGTGCGGAAGACGTGCTTGCTACGCGCGAGCCAGGCGAAGCCCTGCTCGGCCACCTCGGTGTTGTCGTCCGGGCGCAGCTCCTTGCACTTGTGGGGGTCGACGTGCCTGCGGCAGTACTCCGCGTTGTGGTTGCGGAAGTG